GAGTTCCCCTCTAGCTATTTATCTGTCTTCCTTCCCAGCCAAGATTCATAAAGGAGTGTTTGGCATTCTCTATATCTGCTTCCCCACCACCCAGTCATTCCCTTCTGCGATACAGGCCCACTGTCACCCTCATCTTTCCGTCAACCTCTCCTGCCAAGATCACCAAGGTCAATCCAGATTTTCTCTTAGGCTGTGGCATTTGACATTACTGAACATCTTTTCCCCTTTGCCTAGCCCCGTGGTTTCTGTGACCTCAGGCCCTTTTGGTTCCTCCTCTACCTCTCTAATGCCTACTTCTCAGTCTTCTTCATATTCTCTTCTTTCCTGAATGGCTGGGATCTCTCAGTTTTGCATCCTTGGCCCTCTTCTTTTTTTTTCTTTAACACCCTCTCCTTGGATGACTTCATCCACTCCTACGGTTTCAACCATCACCTACTGTTAATCGCTGTCAGATCTATATCTCTGCAACAGCTTCCTCTTTGAAGCTTTTAAGATTATCTTTTCAACTGCCTTTCAAACCATCCACCTGACTGTCTCATGGGCACCTTATAACCAATCTGCCCAAAACTGAGCATCCTATCTTCCTCTTCCCTTCCAAACCCATTCTTTTTTTACCTTGATGGGTGGCATTACTACTTCATAGCCAGTCACTCAAATTAAAAACTTAGGAGGCGTCTTGGATTCCTCCTTCTCCCTCATTTCCCATATTCTGTTAGTCACAAGTCCTGACAACTGCACCTTCCATATATGTGTGTGTGTGTCAAATACATCCCATTTCCAAATGAGTTAGTATATGTAAAGCACTTAGGAAAGTGCTTGGTACTCTAAGTGCTGTGTAAGTGTTAGCTTTTACCGTCATTCTCCTGCCCCACTGCCAACACCTGAGCTCAATCCCCCATCCTGTTTCCTTGGCTTCTTTGGCTCCAAAATCCTTTTCTCTGGGCTATGCTATTTCCTGCTTTGATGGCACTCTGAAGACCTTCTATAGATGCTTCTTTATATTTTATTAATTGTCTTGGCAGTTAAACAAACTCACAGGACATTTGTGAATTTTTTAAACTTTTTAATTTTGAACTAACTTTCGACTTACAGTAGAGTTGCAAAGATAGTACGGAGAGTTCTTGTATACCCTTCCCCTTACCCAACCATAGTACAAGTATCAAAACTAGGAAATTAACATTAGTACAATGCTTAACTAAATTACAGAATTTATTCAGATTTCACCAGTTTTTCCACTAATGCCGTTTCGCAGTTCTAGGATTCAGTCTAGGATCCCACACTGCATTTAGTTATCTTGTCTCTTCAGGTTCCTCTGATCTGTGACAGTGTCTCAGTCTTTCCTAATTTTGACACTTTTTTTTTTTTTATTGTGCTTTAGGTGAAAGTTTATAGCTTACATTGGTTTCTCATACAAAAATTTATACACATATTGTTATGTGACCCT